GGGTTATAAGTAGTATGATTAGGGATAAGAGTAGAATACTAAGTTTAAAGAGGAGCGTCTTAAGGCTAAGAGGGAAATAGCTTATAATAAGGTAAGTAGCTTAAGATACTCTTTTTACTACTACTAAAAGGATATTATAGGTCTAATTAAAGAGGATATAATAAGAAGAATTAGTTTTTACTTTTATATATTATTTACCCTTATACTTTTATACTTTTCTTTTTTTAATATATTATATAAAAAAAAAAACTAAGAGATAATTAAAAAAAAGTAAAGTTTTATGTTTTCTTTTTTTTCCTTTTATTAGCCTATAAATATAATCATAAGCCTAATTAGATATAACTAAGCAAGACCCTTCTAAGTACAAAAAAAGGCTTTAGTTAGATACTATTATAGAGATCAGAATATCAGGACTAAGTAAACAAAAAAGCTTAATATCTTTAGATAAGTATTTAAATAAATATAAACAAATTTATTACTTTAATATCTAAATAAGATATATAATAAGTAACTATTACTTTATTTTCTTAGACCTAACTAGACCTCTAAGGTCTAGAAGGGTATTCTTCTCCTCTAAAGATCACAATATATATATATATACTACTTAGTAATAAGAATAAATCTAAATAAACTATAAAACATAAAGAATACACTTTTCTAGTTTACTTATAGCCCTGATCAGGCTAAGGAGGACCTGAAAAGAGTAGTATCTTACGGTCTAGGCGTTAAGGTAGTCACTTAGGGTAATCGGTCACTCCAGGTACACTCATAACAATACTGGGACCTTGGTATTTAGTGTGGTTTATATATTAACTACCTACTTACTAGCTTCCTTTATTCCACGCAGTTTCAATATCCTAGAATTAATTAGCTTTTTTAGTTTATTTAGTTTAAATAAGTAATTAAAGTTTTTATTTAGTAAATTTAATAAATTTTTATTTTAGTTTTTATTATTATTTCTTTAAGAGAATTAAAAAACCTTTTTTATTTATTTATAGTATAATTACTTTTTATATAAAAGTTATTAATATATAGACCTTTTTTATTTTATTATTTTAATAAACTATTATTAAAGGAATTTATTTTAAAGTAAAAATTATAGTTTTTTATTAGTTTTTTTTATAAAAGAATAAATTTCTTAGGGTTTTTTTTTTAAAGTAAACTTTATTAATAAGGTTTATAAAAGTAAAGTTAGCTTATTTAATAATAATAGAACTACTTAAGGGAATAAGGTTTTTATTTTAAGGTTTTTATTTATTAATTTATTATAAAAAATACTTTTTTAAAGAATATTAATAAAAGATTTTTAATATATTAAAAATAAAAACTAATATAATTTATTAAAAAATAAAAATAAAACTAAAATTATTTTTATAGTTAATAAATATTATAGTAAATTCTATAAATATATTTATATTTTATTTAAGTATTTAAATTTAGTTATAAGCTAAGTTTAAATAGCCTTTTTAAATCTTTAAAAATAAGTTATTTAAGTTAATAAATATACTATTAATAAAAAAAGATATAAATACTAAGCTTATAGTAATTATTAAGTAATTTAAAAAAATATATATTTAATTAATAAAAGTATTTATTTATATACCTTTAAATAATATAAATATATAATTATTAATTAAACTACTTAGTATAAATTTACTAATAATAGAATTTAGTTTAAAGTTAATAATAATAATAATAATATAAATATATTTATTTATAATTTAATAATAATAAATATTTATTTAATTTAATATAAGTACTAAAACTAATAAAATTTAAAAAAAAGCTTAAACTTTTATTTTTTATTTTTTATTTATTTATTAAAACTCTTATAAAGACTTAAACTTTTAAAAAATCTTTTATAGTTATTATAAAGTATTAAAAAAAACTTAAACTTTTATTTTATTATTTTTTTTATTAGTCTAAATATTATAAAAATAGTTATTTTTAAATAAAAAATAATTATATTACTATTTATTATATTTTAATATAAATAAAATAAATATAAAAATTACTAATTTTTATTTTATTTAATTAATTAAGAATTAGTAATAAAATACTAAAAGGTTTTTATTTAAAGTTATTTAAAGTATAAAGAAATTACTAGGAATTTACTAAAGATTTCTTAGTAGATTCCTTATAGTTATAAAAGTAGGTCTTACTAAGAATTTATAGCAAATTCTTAGTGGATATACTGCTATTGCGTAGGTAAACCTGTTGCTATAGCGTAGTGGATCCACCATGATTTCCTGGGGATTTCCCAAGGCCGTCTCTACCTGTGCAGGGAAACCTTTCTCTATGGATTTACCGACTCTGCTTATAACTATTACGTAACATAAATATTAAAATAAAACCAGATAATAATTATTTATATAATAAGGTTAAAATAAAACTAGACTACTTAAATACCGGTTTTAAGATAGTTTCTAGTTAAACTAAGTATAAATTCCTTATTATAATATATCTTATGTCTAAAGGAATTTTATTACATAAGAAAGCCTTTTTTCCTACCTAAGGGTAAGATTTTATTATTATTAATTACAGTAATTAAAATAACTATTAATAAAGCTACCTTTTAACTTATGATTTACCTCTTTATTACCTTATTTCTGTTAGTCTTATAAAAAGAAGTAAATAACTTACTATAATAAGTAACTTACTATATATATATATTATTTATATTTATTTAAGTACTTATCTAAAGACATCAAGCTCATTTATCTACTTGATAAGATACTAATACTTAACTTTTATAATAGTTTATAACTAGAGTCCTTTTTTATACTTAGAAAGGTCTTACTTAGTTACATCTAATTAGGCCTAGGAATATATCTATAGGCTAATAAAAGGAAAAACAAAAACATAAAACCTTATCCCTTTCTAATATAAAGAGTAAAAAGGTAAAAAAAGGTAAGCTATTTACTATAATAGGCTATTTGTTAAATATATATGTGATAAAAAGACTAAATATAATATATAAATATATTAGGTAGTTTAAGATAATACTAAAAAAAGCTAACAAGTAGTCTTAATCAATTTTATATAATTTAACTAGTATAGCTAAATCATATAAATAGTAAAAAAGAAAACAAAAATATATTACTTACTAAAACAACTATACTACTTACTATATATACGTTAAGCCTTTAATTTAACTTATTTACTATTATCTAAATTATACTTAGCTTATTACTTTTATTAAGGTCCTAAACTAAAGCTTTTAAGCTATATTTAGAGTCTATAAACCTATTAAAATGCTTTAGGTCTTATTATGTTTAGTACGCTTATGTACATAGAGGAGATGTATATCGACACTCTTTGCTAGCCGCTGCACTGGTAATGACTTTAGGGGACGATGGTCATGCCTGGTACACAGGGTGGTTTTGTTACGTGTCGCCCTGTTGTGTGACAACCGATTCCAATACACTCTCAGATATTTAACCGTAACACTTAGTAGACGCCAATCGTCAAACCTGTCAGCGTGTCTTGGGACTACACGGTCGTTCCGCCCATGATTGGAGGGTTCGGTGTTGCAAGTTTACTGATGCAGAACGGCACTAATGCAAGTTTAGCGGCGAGCTGACACTGTGATGCCGCTGGCTCCGATGAGCGATAATACGAGCCGTGACAAAACATTTATACGAACGACGACTCCGTATCAGGGACATTGAGAGGATTGTTGCCAGATCCCCTTCGTATTAGTAACAGACATCCAATGCAATGTGTTTCAATGCCTTCAAAACAGAGTCAAAGACGGATTGCTAGATTACAGCAAGAAATGCTTCATAAGCTGAGGTAAACGCAAGAACATTTACGAAACCCGATTGCTCAATTTCGCAAGGCTGGCAAGGAAAGCACACTGTGTGTTCCCAGTACGCGCCGCGAGCCAATGGGAGCACACAGCTAGATGCCCTGTGCGCCCAGCGCCAAACCGTACAGGGCTTAGCACCAAAAAGTGTGAGTCACACCTCATCCAGACCAAGGATTGTGCCCTTTCTTGTCGTGGGCGGAGCACAACGCCCTTCTGTACATCCGACAGTAGTAACTAGTCACTGGTCTCCCACCAAAGTGCAGGGCGTTATCACTTTTAGATATCGCCAAGATACACACAACAGTCGTACTTCCGAGTGTACCTTTTCTGCAGGGTTTTGCTGACCACGCGCCCTTCACCTTGTCTGCCTTGTCGTAGGTGCATTCTTGGTCCTTTTGGCCTATTGTTGCCTGCCAGGCTACAAAAGGTCGTTAGTCCCTCCGCGCCATCCCACACAATTGCCTCTTCTTTTTCCTCTTCCTTTTCTATCACCACCATACTCCTCTCCCAGAAAACGAATATCAACCATATCGCCCGAGAGGCCAGACACCATGCGTTAAATCAACCTTTTCCGACCGTTCCTGCTTCCCTACTAGACAAAATTCCCTCTAAACTTCAAACAACCATCCTCCCCGCTCAATTCAATTCTTCAGTTCAACCTATTCAGGTCGATCTGAACTTCACTACGGCTTCCAGCTTTAGCTCAGGTTCTCCCTCCGCAACCATTCAACCCCAAGACTTTTCAGTCTTCACCACGGATTCCCAATCACCATGGCTTCCCTCCAGTTCACCCAGCCTGCCGGCATTACCCGCGCATCAACAACAGTTCAGCCCGCCCGAGCAACCCCCTCAACAGGACTTCGTCTTGTTCGACCAGCCTCGCACCAATCAACCTAGACACTTAGCCGCACAAGCAGCCTTTGGCCTCAACCAACGTCGTCACTCGTCGCATCATCTGCGCCAGCACCAGGTGCAAGGTCGTGTTCAATCTCATCAGAACCACCGAGTCGCTCAGATTCAGGCTTCCGGTCCCCGTCATCGTCCTCGGTCCTCCGCGGTGTACTCTCCCTCCCAATCAGCTCAATTTTACGCTTCATCCGCCCCGTCTTCTTCGGCCGCTTTAAGCCGCCGTCAGCGTCCTCCTGTACCGTTGTTTTCTCAGGGTAATCAAAACCAAGCCACTCCTAAAATGGATCTGCAAGGTATGATGCCTCTACCATCGGTCACTCCAGTAAATCGATTCTCACACTGCTCAGACCTAGATCTTGACGACTTCACTGGCTTCGAGGGTGGTGCATCTACTACCTACTCGTCGCCCGCCATGCCCTCGGTCTTTGACCTGGGCGGAAGCACGTCAGGTGCCAGCAACTTGGGCACTGTGTCACCTCAGGATTTGCTCATTCAGGAGCCCTTTATGTCTGCCCCAAATTCCACGGCCCTCACAGCTCTGACGTCGCCCTCTATTTACAACGAATCGCCTGACTTCAACGATAGCTATGACGTCTCTCCCAATTTCGGTACTGGTGATTTCGACACTGGCTCTGGCGACCCGTGGTTCCCGTTGTTTCCTCAAGAATCAGCGCCAACCGCTAAGGACGCTGCCAGCGATAATCAGCCGCAACAGGAGCAGCAGCAGCAGCAGATGGACCAGTCGCCTGCTACTAAGACTGACGACCTGGAGGTTGTTGAATTTACATCTTCCTCTGGGCGTCGCAAGTCGGCCAACTCGTCTCCGTCTGGTTCTGCACGTCACTCCTCTGTCTCGGGTGTCAATTCACGTCGGCGAGACAAGCCTCTCCCTCCTATCATTGTGGAGGACCCCAATGACACTATCGCCATGAAGCGAGCTAGGAACACCCTTGCTGCCCGCAAGTCTCGCGAGCGCAAGGCACAACGATTCGAGGATCTCGAAGAGAAGATCCGCAAGTTGGAAGCGGAGCGCGATCACTGGAAGAACATTGCTTTGGGTCGTACTTGAATTCTTGAGTGGTAGTTCTACGGATGGATTGGGGGGGGAAAGACCATAGAAGGTCTACCTTTTTTTGTCACATTTCCTATCCTGTTGTTGCCTACGTTTCTAGTCTGCCCTTATTCTTGATTGTAGTTGATCCAACCAATTATCTATGTTCTCACTCTTATCTTGACCTCAGCCTTCGACTGCCAAACTTGATACCTTTCGCAGTGTCTACTCCCTGCCTCTTGAGTTGTTATATACCTGCATACCTTGTCCTAGACATGGAAACCGGTGTCGAGTGGGACTTGTAACGTGGCCACACTCTCAACTGCCTTACAAGTCTTGATCGATTGTTGAAAGGGAGAGCATGTGATGAATTATAGCTCTCTTGCCAGACTTACGCGGCGTCGTCCACCTTGCACTCCGCACATCTCACAATAAAGAAAGACTATGATTTGCTTGAAGCGTAAGTGCATTTCGAAACCGTTCTTCTGCACGATGTCAAAGGGGAAGCCTGAGCTATCTATGCTACATTCTTCATACTGAAGTGTTGGATGAATGACATGGCCCAAGTAGACGTCGCAATCTTGGCAGAGTAGAAATTTAGCCCTGTTTTCAGCATGCCGTGGCGGGTGGCATATTCAAGCCAGTGCAACTAAACCACGACCTGCTTTATATCACCTTTTTGGCGTATAGTCGAGATTTCTCGCAAGTTGATGCCAGCATATGGGGCAGTTCTCGTTGACTCTAGGCTGAAGCTCGGGATGGACCAGCTGCTTCTGTTGGTGAGACGACCGGCGACACGACTTGTCTCCTCGCAATAGCCTCCTCTGCCCAGTCAGAAAGCTCGCGAGGCGAGCTTTGTTGTGATATCGGCCTCTCGTACTGATGGGGTAACTGGTTCATACGATGTTGCGCTCTAGCCCATAGTCAAGTTCCGGCTATTCGTTCGCCACCAGTGCTGGTTTCTAGAATCTCGTTGTTCACAATGTCCTTGTTGCCGTCTCGAAAATCTTTCATAAGCAAGAGGAAACGGGAGTTCTTCCACTTGTCTCCTTTCTCATGTTGAACAGACTGCAGGATTTGCCTCGCGGCCTCCGATATCTCCGTTTGTGATTGACCATGTTCTCCAGGCTCGGTGACTGTGGTTTCAGAAGCTTCGTCTAGGCCGAGCCGCGATAGATCAGGCACTTGCTCCAATCGGCTCACATTCTTGAGCACATCGGCGTTGCTTGGGTCAAGCAAGCTCTGTACGTCATTTGCTTGCTGGTTGATAGCCTCTTGAAAAGGGGTAAACCGTGTGCGCTGGGTGGGATCCTCCAAGGAACCATTCTGTGGGAACGTCGTGTCGGTAACCTCTAACGAAGCACCAAAATCGATCCTAGATGCATGGTCGGCAGTCCTAGGTTGTTGTTCTTGTTCACGTTCCAATTCTTGTGCAATCTGTTCCATAACGGCGTCTACGTCCTCCATGCTGCCATCTCCATGCGTTGCCATCCACTGGTCCATTTCATGATCAAAATCAGCCTCAGGGTTGACCGTGTTGTTGATAGCGTTGCCACTAACAGGCCTGAAGAAGGACGGTCCAGAGTGTTGGGACATCATGTGGTGCGTGAAGCCTGCAAGAACGGGTACATGATGTTGGGTGGATGAGAAACCGTACGCCTGGCTGCTAGCATTCGGACTACCCCCGGAGAACTTTGCGAAGTCCTGCGCCCAGCTAGGCGCAACTATCGAAGAGCTTGCAGCATGGTTTTGCTGGTATGGTATATGTGTGGGTGCTGCGGCAGCTGCACTCGAGACTTGAGGAGAGACGGATCGATATGGGTCAGGCGAGAAGCGATGACTGTGCCGAGCGGCTGACATCTGAGGCGTCTGCAAGCCCTGGAAGGGCCTCGAGATGGAGGAGTCGTAGGTCGGAAGTGTGCCTGAGCCTACTTGGCCTGATACATTTGATCCAAAAAATGCACTAAAGTTCGCCTGCGCTGAGGAGGTTGAGCCGGTAGATCGGAAACCCTGGTTCTCGGTTAAAAGATTGACAATGGGAGTGTTCGTCCAAGAAGGCCTCTCACCTGCTGAGTACTAGGAGCGCCGGTGAAATGATCTTGGTGTAGGCTTCGATCCTGTGCGCCATGTTCGACAAGGCTTTTGAACGGCGTGGAGCCGCTACAAGAATTATCGGTCATCGTGAAGTCACGGAGACCTAACTGTCTGTACGCGGACGCGAGAGTGAAGTCGAGGGGTTTGACAGCCGAGGCGACTTGCGAAGACCGGTGGCAAGAGTACGCGACAACTGTGACTCTATACGTGTCTTGAGAAGTGATGAGGGAATGTTCAGAGAAGAGGCAGTGTAGCTGAAAGCCTTAGCGGTAGTGGATGGGTAAAGAAGAGTGTCATGCCAGTGCACTGGTAAAAGTACTTTGTCAATATGAAGAACAGGCTCCGCGGATCGCATAGGGGAACGATGGAATAGTCTGGAGGGGTTTTCGTCACCAAGTGGTCCGGATTACGGAGCCGGCTAGAAAAGGCATCCGAAGTTGTGGCAATGCGCGCCGTCCCTTGTGACAGATGGCGGTCGTTGTCATGAGTTGGAAGCACTCTAGTGCCATATCTTACGCAGTACCTCGGCATCATTCCATACGTACCGACCTCCTGGCCAGTGCACATACCTATACTACATACATATGACCAGGGTCTGTTGTCGTACATAGTGTACTATGCACAGTGTATTACTGGAAGGCGGGGGACGGCTGGGCGGAGACAAGCATTCGGCGTGATGGACTCGTTCTGTATTAGCTTATCAGAGCTTTGTAGCCGGTCGGCTCGAATATCTTCCGACTCTTTGCCCCAGGATTAACACACAAGGCTTGTTGCACCGCCTACCAAAAACTCTCAGGCCTATGACCTGTCCGTCAAGCCACTATCCAAATCTTAGTGCGTTATCGATTAGGTACGTACACTACAGCCCAGCGCAGAGCAATTGGTTCCTTTCTCAAGCTAAGGCCAGCTTGGAGAGAGCTCTTGAAATGTGGCTACTGTATCGAAGCAGCACTTGCGTACAACACTTTAACGGGGCGCAACCAGCAGTAGTCACGATTTTCTTAATACCAACCCGGCTTTATCGATTCGACTCCGCGCAATAATTGACGACCTCCTTGGCTATTACCTTCCACAATGGTTCGTTCGTTCGTTCCTTTCGCTGCTGTCTCTTGCAACTTTTGTGCTAACATTGGCAATCCTGGTTGTAGGCTTCTGCCCAGGTTATATCGAACTCTGGCCACGATGATATGATTGTACGTGCTCCTACGAGGTGCTCCCTCTCCCCCCTTCCCCCCCCTCCTCTCTCTCTGTATGCCTGGGTTATGTTCGCTTCAGACGCGACTGCGAACTTAGCACTGAATCCACATACTGCGGCACCAATGCCCTACGGGAAACCGCGCTAATCGTCATTTTATCAAATAGCACGATGCCGTGCTTGATTATTACGGTCGTCGGCTTGCGACGTGCTCAAGCGACCGGACCATCAAGATATTCGAAATAGAAGGAGACTCCCAGCGACTCGTCGAGACCCTCAAAGGGTAGGACCCTCATCCCAGACTCCCTTGGGCCGCGTCATATGTCTGTAGCTCTTGCTGACTCTGGGACAGTCATGATGGTGCAGTCTGGTGCGTGTCGTGGGCGCACCCTAAGTATGGAAATATTCTAGCCTCAGCAGGCTACGACGGCAAGGTCTTTATCTGGAGAGAGCAGAACAACCAGTGGCAGAAGATCTTCGACTTCGCCCTGCACAAAGCCTCTGTCAACATAGTCTCGTGGTCACCACACGAATCCGGCTGCTTGCTGGCTTGTGCCTCCTCGGACGGCAATGCCAGCATCCTTGAATTCCGCGACAACAGCTTCGACCATGTCACCTTCCCTGCTCACGGATTGGGTGTTAATTCTGTCTCGTGGGCCCCGGCAACGGCACCTGGAAGCATTGTCAGCAGCTCTCCTGGCCCTGGATCGGCAGGTGTAAGACGTTTCGTTACAGGTGGCTGTGATAACTTGCTCAAGATATGGGTATTTGAATCGGCTTCACAGTCGTACAAGCAGGAACAGGAGCCGCTCGCCGGCCATACAGACTGGGTTCGTGACGTTGCGTGGTCACCAACAGTTTTACAGAAATCCTACATCGCTTCTGCATCCCAGGACAAGACGGTCCGCATCTGGACCTCAGATTCGTCGAGTACGGGACAGTGGAACTGCAAAGTTCTCAACTTTGATGCTGCCGTCTGGAGAGTCAGCTGGTCGCTGAGCGGCAACGTTCTGGCAGTGAGCGGAGGTGACAACAAGGTGTCATTGTGGAAGGAGAACCTCAGGGGCGAGTGGGAGTGTGTTAAGAGCATTGAGGAGTGATTCAGATGTCAATGTGGCATCATAAGCAAGGCGTTCACGGCAAAATAGGGCATAGATGGGTCAATACGCGGTTGCCCCCCTGTATTTGACGTCGTTTTGGAGCTGCTATACCTGTTATTTTTCCGAAAACCTCTACGTCTGATTGCGTGAAATCGATTGACAGCTTCGTACAGCCAGCTAGTTGCAGGTAAAGCATTTGATATCGCAGTTTCTGAACTGGCTGACTAATAAAGAAACGATGGAGGTTTCGTGGATCCCATCACGATTTCTTCCACTCGCAGTTCATCATGCCCTTATCAGCCTAGCACGATGTGCTACATGGGATTCAACCTGCGTCTCTGGCGCAGTTCATCCTAGCCTGAGAGAAGACCGAACATGCTAGCACCGCCGAGACGAAAAGATACCAATGTTACGAGGCTGCTGATGAAGGCGGGGCGAGGTAAGATCAGGCCTGCTGCAGCACTCTGCAACAACGTCGCGGTAGGCCCCGCTGTAGAACTCGTCGAAGCTGATGCGTCAGTCCGTTGAAGAACGTATATCTCCCCTGTGGCATCGGATGTCATGAACAGTCTCTGGTGTTTATCCCAAGCAAGTCCCACTGGTCGAAAGCAGTTATCCGGGCAACCATTGATGTCCGCATTGCTGAAAATGTCGGTAAGTGATGTTCGACTGTCCGCTGGCTCTGTGGGCATTCCCTTTGTGAAGCGTATGCTGGATAATTTGTAGCCCACCGGCTCGTCGCGGTCCCCTATATACCTGTTAGCTATTAGATGCCGTTTAGCAGCCTCAGCTAGGTTTTGTTTGCCACCCACAGCTTCCATGGAATGTAATGAATGCCACGGTACCATTTGGTGCGAACTTGATGTCCAGCGGCGCAGTATGTGCCTGGAAAGACAGCCTCGGTGGGACATAATTAGCGGCGCAGGCCGTGTCATTAAGAATGCGTGATGAGGCCAGAGCAAACTGGTCTCCCGTCTTCATATTACCTCTGTCTGGAAAGTTTTCGGTGGACCACAGAGCAAAGCAATTCGGGTAGCCGTAGTTACCCCCCCTGGTTCTTGGTGGAATCGTTGAGATAGCTGTGGAAGTTGAGCTCTTCTGCAGGGTTGTCTTGATGTATATCGATGCCATTCCGCCTTAACTGGTCAGCCGAATTCTCGACGGTCCAAATGCCACCAGTGATGGGTTCCTCTGCTACTCCAACAGAATTTCGCAGCCCCCATCCCAGCCTAGTGCCTTGGGTCGCAAAGTTGAATGGCTGCGAGTTCTCCTCGAGGCTCCCGATGTCGAATGCGCGGAGCTGAGAATAACCATTGGATTGTCTGGCAGCGTCTTCGTCGATATTGGCCGCGCTGCCCCTTGACACTAATAGTATGTTAGGCATCTTGTTGGACAGTGTTAGTGTGCGCGTCGTGTGGTCACTATTGCTCATGTTGGCGATGATGGTTGTGTTGAAGTCACCAACAGTGCCTGCTGTAGCATCATAGGACCAGGCGTAGACCTTATCCGCCGTTGAGACATAAAGGATCTTGCCATTGGCCGATAGTGCTATTCCGTGGTTCAGCTTGAAGTCGCAGGGCACACAACGTTAGTCGACTTCTCGAGGCGAAGTACTGCACTGGGCGTTGCCTCACCTCGGGCGACCCTATGATTATTCGCTCCTCGGCAACAGACAAGCAGGTGCCGCCATCGTCAATTAGCTTCAGGTGCTTGATTCCGGACCCAGCGTCGACGAGGAGCAGAGCTCCTTGCTGGTCAAAGAGAATGCTTCGTGGATGGTTCAAGCCATTAGCAACGAGACGGAACGTCCAGCCGCTAGCAGCAACGGGCGTTTTATAGCCCGGACTCAAGTTATTCCTGCATTCCTGTGCCGAGACTAATATCAGTTGAGTCGTCGCAAAGACAAGCAGACAGAGTAAGCTGGTCATGTTGGAGGAATCGCCATACAGATAATGATGATGATAATGATAATGATGAGGCAGTATAGCTCAGCGACAGGGGAATAAGGGAAGGGGGAAGAAGAAGGAAGGACGAGAGAGAGAGGGGGGGTTTATCCTGGGAAGAGTATCAACTAGGACGATGCAGCGGAGAGAGGGTCATCACTTTATTTTAGCTGAGGACGTACATAGTGCTGCAGCCCGTCCAGCTCGGATGTATCAACAGCTTAGCTAAGGGGGTAATGATATACCTGTTATCCCAAGCGAGCCTAGCCGAGAGTTGAAAAGCCCATTTTTGAGAGTTCCGTTCCTTTAATCCCCAGTCCATATGTCGATCCTGTTAGCTAGCGATTGCCGTTGGTGGACACCGAAAGGAACAAGCTTGTTCCATCCACTGAAGGAAAGCCAACATCGACTGCCTCAAACTCCTGCAAGTTGCCGTGAAAGACGACTAGATCAAACTGAAGCCCTGCGCATGGTTCTGATTGGATACGCTGTATATGGAACAAAAGGCCAAGGTCATAGGCCCGATCGTGGCATCCAAACCATCGACCGCCATTGCGAGCAATGTACTGTACTTTCCCGTCTACTTTTATGGTATACCGAGACGCGGAAGAGGCAAGCACACTTAGAGGCGGGCGCGGCAATCATCCACCTACTTAGCTCATAGCTGCTTGCTTCTGTGATATCATGGATGGCCGGGCATGGCTCTTGATCGGCATCTCTTCAGTTCCAACCTGGACGTACAGAAATTCTACTGAATAGATGTTGGGAGTGGCCCGATTTGTGAGCATCGTCGATCACCTTCTTGTGCCTTTACAGAACGCAATTATGCTTTACAAGGCACACACCTAAGCTAGAAGCGAATCTCACCTTAAAGCAACTCTTTGAGAAGAAGCTTGGGGGGATTGGTGAGACGAGGTCTCCCTGGTGGATGGACGGCAAGATTGATTGATGGACAAGACCCACCGGCCTGGTCGGGCCTCTTCCCCGGGGCGGGCCATCCCTGCCGTCAGCTCGCTTCCATTGTCTTGCAATCATTTTTGTCATGTATAGATGGTCACCGCGCAAGATAGATAGTCAGCGGACAACGCCAGACCCGGATGACAGCGTTGCCGCCAGGGGCTCGTCGTACCCTTGAGGTAGCTCCCATAGGTAGAGTAAAACATATGCTGGGCACAAGCCGGAAAGAATCCAATGCATCATCACATGTGATGGTAAGTAAGTCTCAAAGACAGGAGAAGTGCCTCCTGGACTGGCTGAGCCTGGTCATAGTTTAAAGCAGTTATGAATGCGCTCAACACTGGTCTCAAGTAGTTCCGCCACAAAGAATGATATGATACTGACACACATACATGACCGACCAAGTCGACCAAGCGTCCCGTATACGTATGCTCGACCGAGTAGACGCAAGAAAATCGATAGATTTGCCGCAAAGCCAACGTTGCGCTACCCCATTACGCCAGTCCCGCCCTCTCGTTACTAAAGGCGGCCAGTAATCAAGCCAACTTGGCTCATCGGAGGCCGATGACGCTCATTTCAAGGGTCCAAACGCGTCTGATCCATACTTTGAGCTTGCCCTGAACGCCTTCCACGTTTTCAAGCTCAACGCCTTCCCACCAGCAGCGCCTCGCAGGCTTGCGCCAGAAAAGGAGCAGTTTCTGCGCCATGCCAACAGCGTTGCTGCCCATTTCGTTACCTCGAATGTCGCTGCGTAGACGCGCCAAGGCCAAACTGCAAACAACCGCCTTGTTTGGTTCGCCTGCTCGGTGACCCCAATTGTCGTCGTGATTAAATCCACTAATGTCAAGTAAGCTTGGAACCAGTCCATGGTTTGCATCCATCCGTGAGTGGGGAAGCCTACCCGGCTGTCAACATCTCAATGAGGTGAGCTTCCGTAGTACCTGGCTCATCGCTTCGCTTCAGGCCTGAAAATATGCCACTCTGCTGGAGAAGGGCCTTGCCGGCAGCCCTCTTGACTTCCATCATATCGGGTTGTGTAATGTCAGCCCGTGGGGGGATAACGTAAAAGTCGAGATCCTCTCTCAAAACAATAATGCCCGCTCTCTTTGATGAGTCGTCCCTCGAACCCAAGGCATCTCCGACCGCAACCTCCTCGTCATGTGATGGGCTTGGAGATGCGTCGGTAGGTATCGACTGCGCGACGGTGCGGAAAAAGTCGAGCATGTACTGCAACGATGCGGGATCATACTATGCGTACGTATCAGCGTACGTCAAGGGCTGTGTGGCATGACGGGGATCATAAGAAATCTGTACGCACATCTACTTGGACAGCATCGCCCTCGGCAAACCCACCCATGTGCCCCTCGGGGAAGAGCCCGTTTGGAAACAGAGACAAAAGCACAAATTCAGGTAGCGTCAACAGCTCATCCCTCGATAATACAAACCTTGTACCCCTGCAAACATTGGACATTAGCATATGGAGTCATCTGCATCAACAGCAAACCCTACCGGAGGTCCATGGCGATCGTCTCATCGGCGCCGACATCTGCCTTCAAGTTAGCATGCCGGTACGTACCAAAACGGGAAAGAGACGGTTCACCTCCAATGGCATTGATAGGCGGGCCCCCTTGTTGTACTTGAGTAATGATACTCGACGCGCCGCCTGCGGTAGCCATCAGGAACGTGAAGGACTGGAGTGGACTAGGTCCCTCCGAGTATGCGGGTGGCGGTTCGGTGTCGTCGACTTTGCCGGAAGAGCCCCCTTTGGTGTCTCGAGGGAGCGCGCGCTTTGTCTCGGCGAGAGCCTGATCAAAGGAGGTCGAGGTCGAGGCGGATGACGATTGATCTGTAGAGAGACCGGAGGCTAGAGGCGCGTACGCTGGCGCAGCGAGAGATGATGCAGAAGCAGTGGCTCTTGAAACACTTGGGCGACTAGAATGTTCGGGATCGCAGACAGTCTCGGGAGAGCCGTATATGGAAGAAAAAGGCGGCGGCCGGGAAGTTGAGGCCTCGGAGGTAGGATACTGAGGAGGCGGTGACTGGGTCTGAGACTTGGATACTGGTGCTGCTTCGTTGTGTTGTTGATCTGCTTTCTTTTCAAGCTGGAGGGTCTGTTCTCCTTGGAGAGTGACTTTAAGCCGGGCGGATACGGGCTGCCCGTCCCTGACGTCTTGCGAACCTGGCAACGTGGTGGCGGTTTCGAGAGGGTATCAAAGGTCAGATCGTGGGCGGGATAGGGCAGAGTGGCAGATGGATTGGTTAATACACAGTCACAATTGCTCGCATCTGCTCGTGCTTTGTAATTGCGGGGAGACGCCGAAGCAAAGAGCCTGCCTCTTATCTGTACTGGCGATAGAAAACTTGCCGCACGGCGAAAATGGTGGTGGTACCCAGAAACACCGTGGTTGGCGAGGAAGAGCGGAACGAGGAGAAGCGCGCGACAGCCTGGTTCGGTTGCTAAGGGTGTGGAACGACGAGACGAAGGTCAGCTCGCAGGGAGGAGGGTGGAGGGGTCGGGAACTCTTTCGACCTAAACCAAACAAGTAGTGTTACTGAATGGGAGAATGATTGAAGGAGATTGGGAGTGAGGTCTGTCGGGGGCAGTTTGATGAGGTCGACAAGCATGGGATGGATGGCGGTTAGTACATGAATTGGGGGGGAAGCTGGTTCCACAATTACTCCCAGGCTCATATATCCGTTCCCTAACCAACCTGCCTTCCCGCAAGGGACTGTACCTTATCACCTGCGAGGCGTTGCACGCTACCTGCCAGTCCGCTAATTTGCCGAGGGGCCCAGTTAGTGCACGTCGGCGAGCTCAGGCAGTTGAGGTGCCTTGGCCTGGCTAATGTTTGCCTACTACTCGAGGCGCCTTACCTCATCACATATTACTAGTATCTGTCACCTGGGTGTATTACACAAGCTTCATAGACTTTTGCCTGATTTTAGCCTTTGCTATCCAAGCCCTCCTTCCAGTTTGACGCCAAGAAACGTCAATCTCATGCTCGGAAGACTAGACTAACATTGATATACACGGTGAAGGTTCGAGCGGTGCCATAAGTTCTTGTAGTGTGCCCAAAACAAGAGACGTAAAACCAGCTTCTGCCAGCCAATAAGCACCTTTATCGCCAGGTTTCATTGGCTCTAGCCGCCCATGGCACATACACATCCAATGGCAATAATACCCGTGGACTTCAACTACCTTTACGCAGTCATCATGCAATCTCTTGCTTCCAGCCGCATTGCTCCTTGGCATGTGCCTAAGTCACCGCGAATCGAAGCAAGATGAAAAACACTCTGCCAAAGGTGGCCTGAGTTGCAGTTCAGGGGACATTACATCAGAATCGATAGGCGTCCAGGTTTGTGGTTTCCCCATCACATCTTCAACAATAGTTCACATAAAGACGAAGAGCATAAGTAATCAAGCGACAACCCCAATCTGCTGCATCATCGTTCAACGCAGTGCTACTACCACAGGAGGCCAACCAAAACAATGTCGCAGTCACTTACTATCCTCGCCGAGAGCAAGCAAGTATTGCATGCCATGGACGCATCTCAAGCCCGAAAAAAATGGAATAAGCATGGCATCACCAGCGTTATCGCTTCAGCGAGTCAATGTGATTGCTCGGCACTTACTTTAGTTATCCTCGTCACTGCTATTGCCAAAAATTGCTCTGAAGACCTCGTCACTGGGTCGTGGGATCTCAACAGCGATTTTGTCCCTGGCCGTGGCTGCGCTGTCCGCTGACCTTGGCAAAGCTTCTGCAACTTCGGGGCTCGACAAATTACCCACTGCGTCTGTGCCCACCCCGGAAGAAGGCGGCTGCTTCGTTGCATCCACCCCGGCAGGCAGAGCATTGAGGAAACCGCGAGTCTCCGAAGAAGCGCTGGGGTATGAATCCGGCTGGACGTGGTCGGGTGGCCGCACATTGAAGCGCTTGCACAGCAACCTGGTCGGGAAGAAACCCTCTGTCAGCCTCGTCATACGCCCGTACATCCCCATCTTGGCTGCCTCTTCGGCCGGATCCGCTGGCTTGGATGGCTTGAGAATCTGCTGCACGCCTGAGTCCGAGCTAGATTCCAGACCTGCAGGCCCCTTGCTCTCTGTTGAAGCAGTCGTAAATCGAGTAGCCATGAATCCCGTCATGGGCCTGAACAGCTGCGCGCACCCATAAAATTCCGCAAGCTCCTTGACATAGTCATCATCCGTCATGCCTAAAGGCTTTACAGCAGAGAAGCCGCCGAACCCGGCCGCAGCCTGCAGGTAGAGCCGGTAACGTGCGCGCTTGGCTTCATCGTTTGCGTAAGGTCCGCCTGCGCCTGCTCCCCGACTCATTGCTGCAATGGCCGTCTCTTTAGCTAGGCTAGGTATGCTCTGCAGCCTGTCTTCCAGTCTCTGCTCGGATGATTTGCCATGCCCTAGCGGGACCTCGCCTTTAGCCGGGGGAAGGTTCGTTTTGCCAGAGGCCGCAGCTAGTCGCTCGCGAGAAGCAGCTGACATGTAGTCGAAAATCGATTTTCCGGGGAGGATGGATTCGCCTAGAACCGCCGCCCGAGTTCTTGGATCATGCTGAGCCGTCCTTGCAGCGTCCGCCGCCGACATGTACACCGTTTGCTGGTTGGTATCTACACGGCGTTTCGCTGAAGCCCAGCCCGGGGGGATAGCTGGGGGAGGATAGGGCGACGCTGATTGCCTGAACAGCCGAGAGTCTGATATGTGGCCGGCGACAAAGCCTTTCAGCGGCGGTTTTCCATCGTGACATTTCGCCTGTGTATGGTCCCTAGCTGGGCCGAGTTTAGAGATAAAGACTGGTTTGGCCCTCAGCGTTGGATTTGCCGACACAGTCGTAGCCGCTGGCTGCTTCTTCTTCTTCTTTGCTTTGTCGCCACCCAGGACTCGGTTATATGATATTCGAGGGCCCATTTCATATGGATCGTCCTCGTCAGAGCCAGTATCGTTCAAGACTCCAATGCCGAAGCCCGTACGTTGTGCTTGTCTCTGCTTCCTGCCAGGCATGCCTAGTGAAAGCCGAGGACCGCTGGCATAGTCATCCTCCTCCTCATCGACATCCACCCCCCCCGAGCCGGGCCGGTGCGTTCGACCGCCACCAGATCCGTAGAGTGATGATAGTCGAGCTTCCTCTTGGTATCCCAAGCCCCGGCGGTCAGCCTTGCGACAAAGTGCAATCATGTCGACGTCGTCCGGGGCAAATAGATGGGTTTCTTCGGGCTCAGTAGGCTGGTTATTAGTCGAGGGGCCCAGCCGCGCTTTCCTTCGTACTCTCGGCCCGATGCCTTGTCCATCCTTCCAGCCCATTTTCCGCAGAAGCTTGATACCCATGGTATCACCCTGGGTTCTTATCAAACCAGCCAGCCCATTAGGGTGGCGACCACCCAGGCCAGAAGCTCCCAGGGCGGCAAATGGATCAGTGGTTCGGATATCTTGAGCGGCAGCGGCGTCGGCAAGATCTTCTTCATCCATGTAATCTTCTGGCCGTTGATGCGCTGCATCCAGATTATTCTTCCGTCGGTTCGTGCGGCTCGATACGAAGGTAGACGGAGTCCAACCCTCCTTTGATCCGACAGTGTTGAAGTATCTAGACATCAGCATTAGCTCAATGAACGGTGCTGTCCACTGGTATACCAAGCGTGCCTGGGGATAGAGAAACTCACCCTGCACTCCATCCTCCGGTAAAAGCGCCATGAAGGCGTCGCCGGCCACGCTCGTCCCTCACCTCCTGCTTGTAAACGGGGACGTAGGAGCCATCGTCACGTACGTCTGGGTCCAAGGGGGGCAAAGGAGTGCCGAAAGCAACATGCACGGCGGCTTCATCGTACAGATCAGCCTTGAATGTCGCATGCGACCTTTTGCTGTGCGACATGGGGCTGACAGCGACAACCAGCGCACACTATCGCGGCTGCCGGCGGTTGAGAGACTGTGTCGCAGGTCAGCCAGAAGAAGTTTTGTTCGCGTTCGGTCGTAGTTTGAAGCGTCAAGGTACAAGGCTGCGACACCCCTCAAGCAAGAAACACTGAAAAGTGTAAAACAAAGATCCGCGGTTGGGACTCGGGGTTGAGAGGCTCGGAAGGTGGACGCGATGACCTGATGGACCGACGCAGCGACGCAGCATTATTTTGCTCTTATCTTATCAGACACCATGCCGACAAATAGACGTGGGCACGCGGGTATCCGGTGCTTTCTTCGCCCCAATGTACTTGCCTGAAGATACAGCAAGACTCAAGCCAACTAGTAGGGGGTCTGCTTCAGGCCAAATCAAGCCACACGGGCTAGCTGCTCTTTCGGCTGTCGGCCGTCGGTATGGATCGGGTGGTCTAGCCACTGCGTACTGGGTGATGATGAACTATTGTTATTGTATCGGATGTTAACATTTCAAGGGAGGGCCAAAATCTAGGGAACAGCTGATCAGAGTTCTATATCCAGGTACCTTACTCGTGGTCCCTCTGGTCCACATCCTCTTCCCTAGGGCCGTGATAATGATTCGGCACAGCGAAGTTGGCAATTTCCCACAGGTGCCCAACTCCACGCGATGCTCGTTTCCGAAAATAAGGCATAGACTTTTACCCCCTTGCCCCCGTACCTTGCTTTGGTGGGGTGAGGTCGGGCACCTCGGGGTCGACAGCCGAGGCTGATTCCAGTCGCGCTCATGGTGAAGACAAGACGCAGGTTGAGGTGGCCACTCGATACGATACCAGTTGTCGGTGCCTTAACCAGGTATGTACTTTGGAGTTGGCAAGACCGAACAGCTCTTAGTCTGTGCTGTCATGCTCGGGTCACAGTAGAAAGTCAGGTACTCATCCCCAGTGGCATTATCTTCCGCCCGTTTTCAATCTAGCAAGCGCCGATCAGACCCTAAGATGGTCGAACAAAGAGGGAACGGGCGAATTGTGCCACCAAACCACAGGCATCGATGCAGTTGCTAGAATACACTACACAGACTGGATTGGAGTGTGTGAGACGCTGTCAAAAGGCATCTTGACGTTAATGACAAACGGGAGCAAGTGGTTCGGTGTTGCTTCTGTCTTTCATCTATACAGAGAGAGTGTCCGTTAGGAACGTCAAGTCAGCGAGGGCGGGGTAGTACATGGATTTGTCGTCACTTCTGCTGCGCCGTGCTTTGCTGTGCCTTGGTTTTGATTCATGTTTGTGCTTTGGTCCTGCTCCGTCTTGTCGAGATGCATAAGCTACCCATTGAGGCAAGTTACTTGGCTACGATGTCTATTGGTAGATTCGCTATCGGTATGCTCTTGAAAACATTCTGGTCCAGTTGGTTGGCTTTTGTTTTCGTACTGTACCTTGATTGTATATACCCGCCTGCTTCCTGGTCCCCTCCATCATCGTCATATTATCTTTGGCCGGGTACGTAGTTACTATATGCTCTGCTGCCACCCTTTGCCTGAATTTGGCAGGGGCGTAGGACATCACGGAGTACGTGTGTACACAGACATATTCATTGTAAATTACGCACTGCGGACGATGGACACACGCATCCACACACACCCTCTCTCTCTTCCTCTCTCCCTCTCTCTCTCCGACAACGAACAAGGCCCATTCCCATCAAACAAAGACACAAAAAGACGACCTCCGGACTCGATACTTATTTTGCCTTGCATTGTCTTGTCTGGGGACAGATTGTTGCTCCGCTGCCCCTTCCGAACCCGAACTGAGGGTCTTGGCAATAGGGTGCGCGCACCCAAGCTTACGTTGTGTGCTGCTTCAGAACAGGCTGGACTGAGCAACTTGATAACTGAGCAGCCCCCAGAACACGACACACACGTACCTGGTTACGACGAGCTTTACAGGCATCGGACCTGCATTTTTTTTTTGCCTTCGATCCTTGCCTTACTATCGTCTTGTTTCTTTCTTTTAGTTATCTCGTCATCAGGGCACCTCCTCGCTGGGCAAAAGGGCAAGAGGAAGAACCACAGTGCCTTGACCGCCCGTACTTTGGACGTAGCGCTCGCCCTTCCTCCCTTTCTCGCTCGCTCGCTCTCCTTTCTGCCTTCGGCCTCCCCTCTCGGTTCTGCCAACCCCCGTCCCGTCCCATCTCCAGCGTGTCCTGACCGGTCTGTCCCCCGTCCTCGTTCCTCGCCAAAGCCAGACAGAGCCTGTGTCAGCCGCCAGCACACCCGCGAACCCTCGTAGTGTCGCATCCCCCTCTTCCTCCTGTTACTCCTCTCCTGTTCTTTGCTGCAATGACAACCACAATCCCGGCGAGCTCTGATTCCCTAGCGCATGCTCCTCTTCATCCGCCTCAATCTCAATCCCACTCTCAACCAACCGCCGCAGCGCGCTCTCTCTCTACCCGAACCCGGCCTCCTGTCTCCGCCTCTGGCCCTCCACAACGTGCCTCCTCCACATCCAATCACCACCATCACCATCACAGCAGAAGTCAACAACTTCAACACCGCTCCCACTCCCGACAATCCTCCTCTACAACTACCGCTGCCGCTACCGCCGCTGCCACCTCTGCTCGCCCCGTCCAAGAACTGCTTCCGCAACATGATTATGAAACTGCAAACCTAGCCTCTTACTCTAAGCGCTCCGCCCCTAGAGACCAACCGCCCTCGTCATCCCGCGCCGACGCCTCGCGTCCTCAGCGTCACGGCAGCACTAGATCGAATCACAATTCTCATCATCGCGCCCCCGAAATGCCTGCAAACACCGCCGTCGCCAACAATGCCGGCCCTGCTCCCGTGAGCAACCACGGTGCACCCGACCCTAGAAGCCCCGGCGCGACTTCAGCCTCGAAGCATACCAGCAAATCCCGTACTACTATCCCTACCCCGTCTGGAAAATGGATTCTGGGCAAGACAATCGGCGCTGGCAGTATGGGCAAAGTGAAGCTGGCCCGCAAGGAGGACACAGGCGAGCAGGTTCGTCCCCCCTCCCTCCCTACACTCTCCTCGCACTGGCCTCCTATTCATGCTGACCCTTGCGCCCTCTCAACTATAGGTCGCCTGCAAAATCATTCCTCGTGGTTCCACGGAGGATGGACACCAAACCAAAGCCGACAAGGAGAGGGCCGACCAGTCCAAGGAGATAAGGACTGCCCGAGAGGCCGCCATCGTTACTCTTCTCAGCCACCCCAACATATGCGGCATGCGAGACGTCGTACGTACCAATTACCATTGGTACATGCTCTGTGAATACGTCAATGGTGGACAGATGCTCGACTACATTATTTCCCATGGCAAGCTGAAGGAGAAGCAAGCCCGGAAATTCAGTCGCCAGATCGCTAGCGCCCTCGATTACTGCCATCGCAACAGCATCGTCCACCGCGATCTCAAGATCGAGAACATCCTCATCAGCAAGAACGGAGACATCAAAATCATCGACTTTGGTTTGAGCAATCTCTTCGCCCCTCGCGGTCACCTTAAAACTTTCTGTGGTAGTCTGTACTTCGCTGCCCCTGAACTTCTTCAGGCCAGGGCTTACACGGGCCCCGAAGTTGACGTGTGGAGTTTTGGTATCGTTCTCTACGTTCTAGTCTGCGGGAAAGTCCCATTCGATGATCAGAGTATGCCTGCCCTGCACGCCAAGATCAAGAAGGGGCTAGTCGACTACCCGAGTTGGTTGTCAAGCGGTAAGTTCCCTAGCTTGTGGTAACCACTGAACCGTTCTCTAACATGCCATAGAATGCAAGCACCTACTCTCTCGAATGCTCGTTACCGACCCCAAACAACGTGCCACGATGCAGGAAGTCATGAGCCACCCATGGATGACCAAAGGATACAGTGGCCCGCCCGACAACGGATTGCCGCCTCGAGAGCCGCTTACTCTTCCACTAGACTCTGACGTAGTCAACGCCATGACCGGGTTTAACTTTGGCTCTCCAGACGCCATCAGAGCTCAGTTGACGCGAACGATTGAATCAGAGGAGTATCAGCGTGCAGTAAAACTTTACCAGCGTGAAAAGGAGCTCCCTCAGCCGACCAGAGACGTTGAAAGGAAGCGTGGCTTCGGCTTTGACTTTTACAAGCGGAGGAACTCGGGTAACAGTCGTGATACGCTGACAGCGCCAAGTTCCGAGGCTTTGCAGCTTGGCAACGACCCTCTCAACGCGTTCAGCCCTTTAGTTTCGATTTACTACCTGGTGCGGGAGAAACAAGACCGTGATCACCTTGAGAAGAACCCAGGTGTTCCGAATGCTCCCAAGGAGAAGCCAGCGGTTCCCGAAATTACGCCGCCACAAGAGGCTCACACAAATTCATCAGCCTACGAGATGCCTGGTGAGAGGGCCACTGGGGGACGCTCTCGTCCTCGCGCCAGAACTCACGGGGAAGATGAGGCCCCGGATGCGGTCAAAAACTCTCAGCTATCACCGACAACACCTCTTTCGCCAGAGATACCCCCCGAACCACTCCCCAAGAAGGAAAGCACCGCAGCCGGCATCCTTCGACGATTCAGCACTCGAAGACGCAGAGACCCGGAAAGGCTAGATAGGGACCGGTCTCACCCTCCGGTTGTTCAAGTTCACTCTCCGTCGGAGGTACCTCCCGCTCCAGTGCCCGCAAGAGCTTCAGTATCCGGCGTGGCAGACGGGAACGTGAAGAACCCGATCCTCTCCCGCTGCGCTCTGGCAGTAGCCAGCCGCAGCACAGTGACCTCCTCAGTCCTCCCTTGTCTGCTGGGGGTCAGTCATCGCGCCGCAAGGGTCTGGGCCGATCTACCAGCGTCAATTCCGCAGACTTGCGTCGCCGTGGATCCACCCGGGCTCTGAAGGAACCACCACCAACAAGTGGGTCAGATCAGTCAACAACCATGGACAGACCGCAGCCTGCCCCGAGAGAGAGCCAGCAAACACGAGCAGCCTCCATGCGAGCCAAGTCTCTTGGCCACGCCAGGCGCGAGAGCATTCAGCAGCGAAGACTTCGCCGGGAGGAGGCAAGAGAGGCAAATGTCCCTGAAGAGACGGACCAGGAGCATGAGCAAGGCGACCAGAGTGGTGTCTCTACCGACCGGCTTGACAGTTCCGACCTAGCCAAGCCCGTCTTTCTTAAGGGCCTGTTCAGTGTCTCAACAACATCGACCAAAAATGTGACAGAAATCCGGGCAGATATCAAACGGGTGCTTAAGGGTCTTGGAGTTGACTACACCGAGATCAAGGGCGGCTTTCTGTGCAAGCACACACCCAGCATCGATCTCAAGAAAGTGCAGGATTCGCCCGGCAGTCCTGGACAAGCGCCATCAGGGCACAGGAGACGCTTCAGCTTTGGAGCTATCCGGAGCGGCGACCGAGAGAGAGAAGACCTGCGCGAGACTGAGAGAGGTCCTAGCACGCCGCGTGGCACTGGTAGAAATGGGGCCGATCAGAGTTACTCTAACTCAGACGTCTCAGTCGATAGTGTCTCGCGGGAGGCTGGAGGATCATCTCGAAGAGTCCCGGGTGAGACGAGCACACATGTCCAAAGCGACCTCGGCGGAAGTATGGTTTTGGAGTTCGAAATTTTCATCGTCAAGGTTCCGCTGCTCTCCCTTCATGGGATTCAATTCAAACGGCTGGTGGGAAACACGTGGCAGTACAAGAACATGGCCGATCAGGTTTTGAGGGAGCTTCGCCTATAGTCAAACACATGACGAGAAGGAGACGCGGGCGACTGGCCACGGAATGGCCCGGAGTCGGGCAGCAGACTTGGGCGGGCTAGGGCGAGACAAGGATTTTGACGGAATCCATTCTCATCATATGGCCTATTCTAGCCTTGATTTATTTTCTTTTGTCATTGGCCGGTAGCACCGTATTAGTTGATAACCCAGCTACCGTGACTAGCAGCTTGGGTATTGTTTGAATAGGCGCTCATACAGGCGAATCACCGCGATGCTGTGAAAAGCACTAATTCAGGGTTGTGTTTACGAAGAGTCAAGATTTCGGGCACCAGTTATAAAGAAGCCAAGCCGTGATGTGAGTCTCGAGGTCGTTCAATGATTTATTCTCGTCATGCTGTCGTGGAGAGTGGAAGCCGCCAACTGAAGTGTGGTGAGGCCCAGGCTGGCGCATATCTCAGCAAATTGGCCGTCTTGAGTTGAGCCGCACAGGGCGACAAGGCAGTTCCAAGACCCACATGCGAAGCCCCGACGGCGGTTCTGTAGGCCCGGGCCACAGATATTGCGTACCTGGGCTATGGTCCTGTAGGCGTCCCTGAGTCGGTGCCGTGTGCCCATCCCTTCAACCGCCGTTGCAACGAGGCCGGAACCCTTCCATTATGTAATCCGCTACTAGCCCGTGCGCTATTACCTTACAGCCCGTGTGCATTCCACCCTCTATACCTCGCCTTGTCTGGCCTTGCCTCTCTACCTTGCCTAGTTCCACCTTCAACCTTCCCTGGTTTACTGTGTGCTTCACGCAACCTCGAGCCCGAACACGCACTTGCCTCCTCGCCTACGCAGCTGTCCTAAAAGGCTTGAAGACGCGCCGCTGCAAACCGCAATCTTGCGCCTTCGTTTGCAATCTCCTATTCCCTGACACCCAACGAACCAGCTTGCGCGCGCAGACACTCGAAGCCCGCACGCACCCCCGCGAAACTGACCCTGCCAGTTCGCTGCCCACCGCACATCGACACCTCCGTACTTCACCTGCGACCCGTCATTGGCAAGCCTGTCGACCGATACGCTACAATTTGAAAGTTTGGAAACAACAGATAACGAAAAGAAGTCTTCTGTCCACGGACAACTTCGGAGCGTTTCATCCTCCAGTACCACTCTGGACTTCTTCCACAACAGCATCTTCTGTCAAGCGTACCGATCTGGGCCTTCAAGATGATGCCGGCACAGCACGTTTACGGACACCACCAATTCAATCCACAAGCCGACTCGGCATGGATGCATCAACAATCGAATCAACATCACCATGCCCAGCAAGCCGCTGCTGCCGCCGCTTCTGCCGCTCAGCAGCAACAGCAGCAGCAGCAGCAACAGCAGCAGCAACAGCAACAGCAGCAGCAGCAGCAGCAACAACAGCAACAGCAGCAGCACTACAACCGTCTTGCTGGAGGTCACTCTACCGTCCCTTCCCTTGGCAATGCACATGCTCCGGATGGAGCGCACGACAACATTTCTGAGGACAACCGAAGAACCATGGCCTACATAGCCGACCTCTTGAACGAGAGCACTCGTGAGGCTGCTCTTCTGGAGCTTAGTAAGAAGAGAGAGCAAGTTCCTGAGCTGGCATTGATTCTGTGGCATTCATTTGGTAAGCTTGCGCGCTTGAATCTCAATGTATGGACAAGTCATCTAACGACAAGCTCAGGAGTCATGACCTCGTTGCTGCAGGAAATCATATCGGTTTACACCCTCCTAAATCCTTCCCAGCTTACGGCTGCTGCATCCAACAGGGTATGCAACGCGCTGGCCCTTCTTCAGTGCGTCGCATCTCACAACGACACGCGCACGCTATTTTTGAATGGTATGATGGCCCGTACTAATTCTATGATATTCCTCTTTGTTCATGCGCTCACACGTGTCTAGCTCACATCCCCCTCTTTCTCTATCCGTTCCTCAATACGACGTCGAAATCGAGGCCGTTCGAGTACTTACGCCTGACATCGTTGGGCGTTATCGGCGCTCTTGTCAAGAATGACTCGTCCGAGGTTATCAACTTCCTCCTGACCACCGAAATCATCCCTCTTTGCCTTCGTATTATGGAGACAGGCTCCGAGTTGAGTAAGACTGTGGCAATCTTCATCGTGCAGAAGATTCTCCTGGACGACAACGGCCTGAACTATATTTGCGCTACCTACGAACGCTTTTACGCTGTGGGAACTGTCCTCAGCAACATGGTCGCTCAGCTCGTTGAGCAGCAGACGGCGCGTCTGCTCAAGCATGTCGTTAGGTGCTTCCTTCGGTATGTTGCACATTGTTCCACTCACATTCCTGCCTGATAGTCATGGCCCGCAGCTAACAGGCAGGCATCGCACAGGTTAAGCGACAATGCTCGCGCACGCGAAGCTCTTCGTCAATGCCTCCCAGAGCCTCTTCGTGATGCAACCTTTTCCTCCGTGCTTCGGGACGACGCGGCAACGAAGAGATGTCTGGCCCAACTTCTCATAAATCTTTCGGACAATGTCGTCGAACCGACCCAAGGGGGACACCCCGGCCTTTGAGGCCAAGCATACTTGACATATTGTAACGTTTTCAGGCCAACATAGACTCATGCATAACACGGCGACTCGGAGGTCAGTGATTTCATCGGAAAACGCAAAAGCGTCGTGGACGCATTGATACCCGCTTCCTTTGCCCCGACTTGGGGCCTATCAGGTTGATCTGGAATGCATCTTCGACTCGCGGTCTTTCTTTCTCTCTTTATTAGTAGCATCGAAACGGACGGGGCAAAAAGCAAGGGTTTATTTCGTTTTTTTTACCGTTGGGGGCTGGCGATGGGGGGTATGTCATTTGATTATACGGTAAGGAGCAGTCGGACTGGAAATGGCGCCGGGGGCAGTGGATGAGCGTCTCGGGCTCTTTTAACACGATCCTGGACTATCTAGTGTTGGTATCGCCTCACGTCCGGCAGTGAAAGTGGCAGTACTGGCTTTGCTCGAGTGGCCTAAATATGCGAACTGTCTTTTTCTGGCAGCAGGTTTAAGGGAGTACGGGAACCTGGTGGCTATTGTTCGGACTCAGCTTCTACATGTATGTATATTCAGGCTCAAATCCAAATGTCCAAATTGTTTCAACTCGTTCGATCAATCCTCTTCCGATCCCCTTTATCCTCTCTCTCGGATGTCATGCTCAATTAGCCTTGACGAAGTCTGCAGAAGCATGCCACACATCCGTCATTTTGCGTATGTTCATCAAACCTTCGCCTTGGTCAGCGTAACCGAATCTGCTCCCTCCCTTTTTGCTGTCATTTGATCAGGTATCTGTTTCTGCGTTTCTGCATGCCAGCAGAAGCAACTGCCGCTATAGAGATAGTGCCCGTTCTCTTTTGACAAGCCAGAGTCAGTGAACATATCGTCTTTGTTGATGTGGACGAAGGAGAATGCAATCACTCATTTACGATACTAACGATTTGATGAGTCATGCCCGTCAAGTGCATATGCGACTTTTGGGGCCACGACTGTAATGGCAGGCGAGGCTTAAAGAGCTGCCGTTGGTGCTAGGACGAGGACGTGTGCAGGCAAGGTGGTCAGCACTCATTGACTGTTAATATTTCGCCCTTGCAGTAGTCTACTTGACTATACCAAGAGAAAAGGCGAAGCTCAGGCCCAAGCCCAAACTGAGCACATCACGGTAGACCGCATGAAAAAGGCCAGAATGACCAGCCAAGGAAGGGACTGAGGGGACTTAATGTTTGGAAAGTCCATGCGCTAGAGGTTGTGATTCAACAGTTTACATATCCAACAGGCCATTCGACATGTTTAGGGTGTCGAACGGCATACAGTCATGAGAAGCTCCTCGCAGCCAGGGCTATAAGATACTATCTTCGTGTTTCGTCGACAGGGGGCTTGGAACCTCAAGACCTAGGGTGGAGAGGAATCATTACAACTATGGTCGATTCCAGACTGTTCAGATTGTTCCAATCATTGTCCTGCGTCTTCGTTCTTGCCGCTGGTGGTGTTCGGGTCGGCTGGGGTTGAACCAGGTAATACCGTAGAAGCATTGCTGGTAATCCAGCTACCTTGGGTAGAAATCGAGGAAAATGCAAGAATTGGTGCGAGCCAGAAAGCTGATTGACACCACTAAGCACTGATCTGTACCGGTCTTCAGTAGCTGCCGCTGGAACTTGACACGAAACTCCAAATGTCTGCATCACCATGGGTGATTGCTTGCCTGTTGAACCCTTCGACCACGAGGACTGTCTAACGGCCACCTCCTCTTGTATTTGTCTCTTTGGGGGGCAAGGGTGCTCATGTACAGCTAATAATCCTGTATTGTTCTCTGTCGTGTTGATAACCGCAGTTCCCTTCGACCACGCATCACCTATTTTGGCCTGGAATTCGCAGTATTCAGTACTATTTATGCAACCGGATCTCCCTTTTTATGACGGTAACACGTTAATTCTATAGAATTTGGTACGCTATGAACAGCGAGAGGAGGCAAGAATACTCATCAAACCAATAATGCCCACAGTTTCGTTGCTCGAATAACTCAAGGCTACCCCCAAACTTGTATTGTTGTATACAAGTAACAATGTTCTGATCGGGAGACAGACGCGCCATTCCAGAATGGCACGCAAGTGGGGAAAAACAGAGACAGCTCTTGTACAGCTTCGCCGAGAAAATTACCAGCAATGTATCTATAAAGGGTCAAACCTAGGACCGTCACTAATGAGTGCTGTCAAGATGTGTTCATCCAATACTATTGGAGAATTGGCTAGTGACGTTGGTTGTCCTCCGTCAATGTATCTGTAGCTAGCAGGTATGAAACATATTCAGGGAATCTACATACTCAATCGTTGAGGTGTTCCATATCTTGGATATCGAGCGATGAGATGACCGCTACCGTGGCCGCACCGGGGCTGGTGGAACGAAACCCCAATTAACAACTGAGAATAAGACCACTGTACTCCGCATATTGCAGAGCATGAGACGAAGATCACCGAGCCTCTCCCATTGCTAGGAGGATGAAGAGACCCCGCCAGGGTATCGTTCTGAATGTAATTGCCGATCCGCAGAGGATGGAACTCTTCTCCAGGAGAACACATGTAGAGATCCGGCAGCCTTACGGCCCAATGTCTTCCCAGTAGAGTTCTGAGGGACACGAAGTTGCCAGGCTTAAGCAACAGGGCACCGGCACGACCAATCCTATGTGTCTGGACCATGGGCCGCGCCTCTTGAGACGACTGTGATCGTACCTATTTCTACGAGCTGCACTACAATACTACAGGCGAAAGAAGCAGGAAGAGTGCGGTGCAGCATTTCCTCCAAGCAGAGCCCAAGAAGCGCAATCCAAGGTGCCTAAAGCATAAGGAAAGGAGACCCGCATCAATATCGGACATGGCAGCCGTCGATTCGCCTAGACACGTTGATAAACGCACAGCTTTACCCCGGCGATGCCTTCATCTGGCCTTGCCGAGAATTATATACCGCGCCGGTGTGAAATGCTTGGCCCTTCATCACCTCTATCAGTGTCATGCCACCACACTGATGCCACCACACTGCAAGCAAGACGTCCATTAGACCTGTCCCCAAAACATAAGATCGAAAGGCCGCAAGACTTTACGCTAGCCAGTAGAGCCGCACTGCCACTGCCCAGATTGCCCCGGGACAGCACCCCAAGAGCTCAGCATTATGGATGATGGAGGCCGCAGACGGTACTGGAAACATATCAGGCGAAGCTTGATGACATAACCGCCAATCAACAGGCGCGCTGGATTGTTTCTCGTGCTTGATAATGCAACCCTTGGCAAGGATAGGCGGAGGATGCACGACAAGCGAAGAGTGTGTGGAGTATAGGGGGTTCGGGATCCTTTGCAAGGCATGCTCCTATTGGAGACGAGTACGACGATGCAAGCAGAGCCGTTAGGAGAGCCGATCATCTTCGTTGTCTCTGGGTCTTATAGCCCCGTCGAGAACAGCTTGTGGGACATGCCCCACGCGAAGCTTAACCGGGAGAGTACCGCAATGGGAATATTGGGGCATACCTTGAACAGGAATGGAAAGAAGCCGGGCGAACTGTTGGTACTCAAGAATCAGAACTTACTCCCTAGCAGCAAGCAGTAGGGCTGCCGTTGAAAGCTTGCCAACCCGGCCCTAGAATACACTACCAATCGTGCATCAGAGCTTGCCGCCCATTGCCGCGCACCTAACTTGGCTCCCTTGCTGACGAGCTCATCAGCATTCGTCTCCGAGACCAGGCAGCCGAGACGAATTTGTCATTTGCCCACGGGATCGATGCAAACGGGGCCGCGTTTGTCCGCCACTCTGGTCAAACGGGAGCGAAGATGGGGTACGGGTTTGAGGATGGCGATGGGGATGGTAGTTAGCATTGTCGTATTTGGAGCCCAAAAGCGACGGCCCATGAAAGCGTAATACAAAGACGAGAAGAAGGTGACCGCAAAGACACCTTACCAGCCCTACGGGCTCGCAAAATCCTATGGCAAGAGCTGCGACGGAACCGTTCCCGTCCCATACTGTCCAAATGCCATAGAGGACTCCCCTGTGCCATGCTTTCAATCTTCATGTGTCTGCCTAATCTCAGCAAGGCATGGCAGCCATCGGATTGAAAGTTGACAAGTGCGACGCAATGCAACGCAGGACAGACATAATTTGAAAGCACATAGACCAATGAAAGTGTAGAGAGTGTGAATGCCTGTTTTGGATGAACGGAATAGACGGAAGGATGGATGGCTTGATAAATTGGTTGTCGGAGGTGGTGGGACTTAGATGTGTTGACTGTCGAAGTTGGTCTGGAGGACGTCGGATGTAACGGGGAGGGGGAGGGGGCTGAGACGGGGTAGTGTACGCTAGGCCACAAACAGACACCGTTTGGATGGTTACACAAAACGGGCCAGGCTTAGGTGTCTCTTCTGTAGCCGCAGGTGCAGGTGAGGACAACTGGCGCAGAGCGCAGAGAGGTAAATCTCGAGGCGTGGGCTTTGCACCCCTGTCTTCCGCCTTTTCCTCACCAAAGCGCAGCTGGCCACACCCAAAACTGGCGGTGGCCTTACGACATAGCGAGCACAAGACGGACGCACGTTGATTGGACTGCACGTCGTCAGGCCAGGCCGGGCGTGACGAGTTGACTGCAGACGTACCTCAGGTTCACCATCTTGGCCTCATTTACACACACACACACACACACACACACATACGAGCGCGCGCGGAGAAAGATTCTCTCTTGCACGCGGTACTCCCTCGAAGTTGCATTTTGCCCCAAGATAACCAAAAGGAGTCACACTTGTCCGCTGAAAATGTGATGGTGCGATTAGGCCCTTTTCGCTGACGCTCCGTTTGGCCTATTATTCATAATGGGAGAAGCGTGTGTCCTTATGCCCGTCTCGACGTCTGTCTCCCCATCTCGTTGAGCTACCAACGCCTCAACCCCAGGGTTGATATGGCAAACGAAAACATCCATTATAGGCCAACGATCGCAACCGCGCACCGATAAAGACGCGGAGAAAAATCCAGATGCAAACTCGACATGATGAAAACCTGGAACG